AACGACAGTATGACTGTTTGTTTGTTTGAATGGATTGTCATATCACGGGATAACGACAGTATGACTGTTTGTTTGTTTGAATGGATTGTCATATCACAGGATAACGACAGTATGACTGTTTGTTGGAAAACGACAGTATGACTGTTTGTTTGTTTGAATGGATGGTCATATCACGGGATAACGACAGTATGACTGTTTGTTTGTTTGAATGGATTGTCATATCACAGGATAACGACAGTATGACTGTCTGTCTGTTCGAATTGAGTTTTCGTTGTTAAGTAAAACAAAAATGAGAATTTCTGTTTAAAGGAGTTGTCTGTATCATAGATAAGAAAGATAAGATATACTCTTAAATTGAAGGGAGTTTCTTTGCCACGGTTGATAAAAATAAGAATTTCTGTATAAATTAAAGGATTGCCCTTTTCAAGTATTTACTTTGCCACTGGCAAAAAAAACCAAAAAGAAATATTGCTGTTGACTTGAAAAGTTGTCTGTTTTAATCATAATACATGTGTGCACATTTGGTTGGATTGGATGGGTTGCTTTTGCCAAGAATGACACAAGTTTATATATATATCTTATTAAAACGGTTGCCTATTGCACGTATGTGAAGGAATTGCTATAATTAGGATAACAAAAGAATGAATTTCTATTTGTTACAAGGGGTTGCCTATGTCACGGACCAGATGCACGGTAATTGTACAGCCATGAACATAGACCTTACCTTTGACGGAGCGAGGAATGGCGCCACGACGCTTCGACTTATAAGCTCTCGCGAATTCTTCTATTTTAATGCTATTAACTTCACGTATGAAGGAGTGGTAAGCTGTTCTATTTTGATTATTAGGTCTGCCTAACCTGCCTCCTCCTCCTCCTCCCTCTCCTCCCTCCTCCTCCTCCTTGACCATCCTTGCTCCTCTCCTTCTCTCCTCTCTTCCTATTGCCTTTCCCTCTCCTTCTATTGATCCTCCTGATCCTCTTCGTCTTCCTCCTCCTCAGACTATTCTGTTCTTCAACCTCATCCTCATTTGCTAACCCGTGAGAACAAATGAATGATGATGTCACGTAAACTTTTGAGTACATGTGCAGATAAACACATTTCGGTATTTTTCATAAAACATTTTATACTTCAGAACAAAGTGCGAGATATTGACGCCGACACCTGGGTCGGCAAGCGTCCAAATTACCCACCCGGTATCGGCGGTGTATCCACCTGGCAATGGTATTTCACAACGGTAAGCTGAGAAATAAATAATTAACTTTTATATTTCACGAGAACTAAAATGGGGGGGGGGGGGGGGGGGGGTGCGTCAAATACCTTGTTTGACTGTAGATTTAAGATTAATTTCCACAGACTTTGTTTTGAAATCATATAACTATATAGATATATTTCCTCCTCACTAAAGGGGTTACAGTTTATAAGGGAAAGAAGCTTTTTTGGCGGAATTGAATTGATAAACAGTATGTTTTTATTGATATCAGAATAATTGGTTCGACACTAACACTGGGATGTCACAAGGCGGTGTGCCGATACAGATGAACATTGATGCCCCAAACGTGAGTATCGTTCTAAAATTTCACATTTTTTTTTTAAATTTACATTTTTCATTTTCTATATATAATCTATATACATGTGCAATTCATTTCATTTGTATATTATTACTTTATCACTGTTTATACAAACCTTGTGATATTTTCAAAACTTAACCACTTTTTGTTCATTTTATTAGCAGTCCTGATCAATAATATTGATATAACGTAAATATTTTCAAACGTTGGCATTCCAGTAAACACATCTTAACGAATCTGTTATTTATTACTCGTTTAGTTAACATGGTGGTCATGAAAATTATACATTATATAAAAGTATATAGTGACGTATACTTCCCCCGACGAACCTCTAAAGAGGTGAAGACACTACGAAGGTACTAAGTAACTCTTTTCATTTGTTTTGTATATAGAAATATATTTATATTTATATTGTATTATTGCCTTTGTTGTCATTCATACAGGCTGGAATGAGCTACGAGTATCACATGTTTAACTTTAAAAACAGCGTACCAAACCTTCTTAATTATGACGTCAGCGCTTGCTATATCGATCGCGACAGGAGGATGTTTCAAATGAAATTCCCAGGTGAGCAGTCCAGCACGGAGTGCTTTTGAAGTATATCAAACTGCTGTGTTTATATGTTAAATAAATCTCAAGAGATATATCATAACAATAGTAATAATGTTTACCGGATGTTAAATTTAATAGATATAGGATCTTACATGAGTTTTCATTTCATATGAGATTTATGAAACGAGTCTAAGAATTTTTCAATTTAGCGAGCCTCTGGCGAGCTACAACGAAACATTCGTGACGAGTTTCATTGATTTCATGTTAGATTAAAACGAGCGTAAGATCCCTTTTATCACATAAGCTCATTTTTTTGTCATTTATTCTTGTAAAACGACAATTTGCATGCAACCTGGAACCAGTGCGTAAGTCTGTGACGTCAGGTACGTGTCCTAGGCGTGACGTCACAATTGAAACAATTGAAACTCACAACCAATCACAGGGCTGATTGGTCATATTACATGGGTTAATACGCAAATAGATATGACATATGTATATTCACTGGATAACACAGTATATTATGCGATAAATATTATTCCATGGGGTAACATTTTTGTGTCTATCTCACACACAAAATATTTGATTTTTTCTATCCATGTCTTTTCTGCCACTTATCTATTATGCAATATTAATTATCCCTAACCTTCAAAATTAAGGCTTGGCACAATTAAGATATTGTAAATAAAAAATAATAATTTGGATTTCAGAATATAATATATTTTTTCCAATTCATGTTAAACATGTTGAAAAGAAATCGTGTAAACTGTGAAATGGATCTGCATTGGGATAAATTTAAATTACACACATTTCATGACATTTTTATAAAATGAAATAAGTAATTTATTGTATATCCGGTATTGTTTTTTTTTCATCAGGTCAATATACAAGTGTGGTGGATTCTAACTTGGACCAGTTCAAATACTTCGTCTTAGTGGCCCTGACAAAAACAATGTCTGTTTCTGCTCTCAGAGTATCCAACTTACAGGTAAGTGCGCATGCTCGAAATTCCTGCAGTTACGCTCACTCACGTTCTCTGCTCCCCTGGTATATGTCATGGCAAAACCAAAAGGCCGCGGTCAGTTATTTACACTTATGCACTACCACGTGCTTCTTTTAATGTACATCAAATAATCAAAGTAGTCTTCTTGTATCGCCGACAAGATATCGCTTTCAATTCAGTCATGACCGATTTCAAGGGGAGATAGCGCAAGAGAGCGTAAACCATGGAATTTCAAGGTTATTAAGTGTTGAGCTCACATTATCACATAAGGGCGCTAATTGGGAATTTAATGTTCTCTGTTTTTCTTCATAATACTTAAAAACAGTATTGATTAGAAATTTTACGAACGTTTCCTGACTTATTTTAACTTGCTAGCAAAAGTCCAGATGACTATATATTCTTGATGACTTCTTAAATGTGTACACTTAAAGTGATGACGTAACAACAATTATTCCTACGTCACTGTACTTCTCTAGTACGTACTTCATCTTATTCATTTACCCCTATTTTAGTGCTTTTCTTGAACGTTGGCATATTTTTCATTTCTTTCCTTGAAATACTATAATTCAACACCTCTTTTTCATAAGAACATATCACTTCCTCACAAATATTCAAGAGGTTTTAGCAATTCATTCAAGACAACAGGCGATTTTTTAACAGAATTCCAACTCTTGAATAAAAATATATTTTTCTACCTGAATACGCTTTCAAAGTTAGACTATTGCTTATTCTTGAGATAATGTTGTCATTAACTATTGTAGCAAGTGTCTGGAGATTTAATATATATGCTGTCGTTTGGCCAGCTTGTAATAATAATAATAATAATTCGAAGTTCTTGTATGCAGCTTCATCACACCCTAGTTCGTAGGTCGTTTCAAAGCGGTTCACAAATTACTATCCGTGGTTATAGGGCCTTTGCAACCAGCCAATATCTTTCTCAACTCCCTGGGGAGCATACAGCCGGTGCTGCCATTTCACTAGCACAAGCCAGCCACGTACTCAGTTACAGCTGAGTAGACTGGAACAAGCGGAGTAAAGTATATTGCTCAAAGATAGAACACACAGTGCTGTGACGACAGTCGAACTAGCAATTCTTCGGTCGCGAAGTGGTTCAATGGAGCAAAAACCTAATAACAACACGACATACTGAATCTATCGCGTTAGTTCATTCCTTTATTGGAACTTTACACCGGAGGAGACGTTCAGCTCATATGAAGATACTTGTAATATTTTGTTACTATATATATATTTAACAGGTTATATTCGACAAAGACATTGTCGTCAGTTTCGAGGTTCTGGACGTGGCCCCAATACTGGGTGACGTCACTAATCATCGCGTTGAAACACCATTAGATACTGCAGCCACCAAGTTGATCAACAAAATCCACTCTAAACAGTTTTTCATTACCATGCATTTCAACAATAACCAAGATGTAAGTAATCATCATTTATTACATTTGTACATCTGCTATGCTAAACCATCCACATTGTTTTGTTTACTGTAAAGTGGAAACTTTCGCGCGTGGAAATGTTCACGTTCTTTAAACTGGTCGCGATATGGACATTTTCGTGTTGGCAAATCTTCATATCGTCTATGTATTCCTGCGTGAATGTCTTCGTGGTAATACACTCAATGGCAAAAACGCTAGTATTTCCATATCGCGAAAATATATTGTACAGGTACATGTTTATTACCTATTAGGTATTCTTAATAGTTTACAGGTATGATACCAATGCCTAAGAGCCTTATTGAGACGACTTACCTGTGGAACAGCCAGACAGGAACAGCAATTCCTCAGAAAACGTCCGGATACGGAGCAGGTAAAGGGCTTCAATATTTCTCGATTTAAGGGATTGGAAATCGTATGAAGGGTACGTTGCCACATGTAACGCAGCCTACAGTCATCCTTTCGGAATTCCTGGTTTAACCCCTCGTTCTTATGGGCATTCCATGTTTAACTTTCGGAATTCCTGGTTTAACCCCTCGTTCTTATGGGCATTCCATGTTTAACTTTCGGAATTCCTCGTTTAACCCCTCGTTCTTATGGGCATTCCATGTTCTAACTTTCCAAATTCCTGGTTTAACCCCTCGTTCTTATGGGCATTCCATGTTTAACTTTCGGAATTCCTCGTTTAACCCCTCGTTCTTATGGGCATTCCATGTTATAACTTTTGGAACTCAAGCGTTCCTTTTTCTCGATAAATGTTTTTTTACTGCCTTGAATATGTCATGACAGAATGGATGGTTCTACGTACCACGGGTTAGACATATTAGACTGGCTCCGTCTCTAAAATTTTGAATATATTATTCTACCAAGAGAAGATAACTCTGCAATACGCAAAGACGGAATAATGAAAATATGAATCTGTCGGAATTGATATCCCTAGAATGCAAAAACTATTCTATTCCGTCTTTGCGTATTGCAGAGTTATCTTCTCTTGGGAGCAGGTATTGATTGTTACGTCATTGGTTTGTGCGAGAAAATTACGTCGTTTTCTCAAAAATTGATGACATTACTCTCACAAACAAGTGACGTAACAATCAATACCTGTTCCCAAGAGAAGATAACTCTGCAATATGCAAAGACGGAATAAGTGGTCACGTGTGTGTTAGTTGTGATCATCTTTCAAACGGAGGGATAATCTAGTCGAAAAAATAGCTTGGTAATTATCTACACAAGATTGGAGGCTTGTATCCATCTACATGTAGATACAAGTTTATAAGTCTTCAATCTGTTACGGATATAAAAGGAATTGTGTGGTGACCTAATAAGAATTTTAAAAAAGCCTTTAGTTTTAACGAAACTGCTTTGTAATCTTCAAAGAAAAAGGTAACGGCCTTAGCGAGTGGTCAGCTTTTTACGTCAAAGACCAATCAAATGGCTTCTTACAGTTGTGGGATCGCACGATGTGTGCACGATGTGCGAACGATAAAAAGTTGGACGATCATTGCTTTCGTACATTTGTGTGCACGATGGACGAACGATGTGCTATAACAATCGTGGTTGGTGTAAATTGAGGAATGCCTTAACAATATATACGGTTTCGTGTGTAAACAAACATGTATGTCGAATATGGTTATTTTGAAATATATTTTATAGTTTTTACGTTACATACTATAGAAGAAGAAACAAAACCGTCTGTCATAACACTCAAATCATCATTGTTTATGTCAAGAAAGATTTCAAAATGTGAACATGTAAACAGCTGATTCTATTTTTGACCAGGTGTGATGGCAGCAGTGGGTGTGGTCGTTCCCATAGTTTCGGCAGCTCTGGGTGGAGTGCTTGCTTTCTTCTTCTTCAAGTAAAAGGTAAAGCCATCCCTCAAATTATGAAAAAATATAAAAAAAAATATATAAATCAACGGCACATTTCGCCAACATATTATATTCAGCTTTTTGCCATCTGGACGGTAAATGGAACCCTGCCTAAATATTTTGGAACATTTCAGGATTGGACTCGATGAAAAAATTGTCTATCGATTAATAGCCCGGAAACCAAAGTGAACTCTGAAAAAAACCTTATTAGTCGCCGGGACTATTTCCTTGACATCTGTTGTAAGATCACGTATAATGCTCGAATTCCCTATGTCGAAGGACGTGAATAGAGACAAGTATTCAAGTATTAGAAATCATGGGGAAACGAGTACATGTATTACTTTGTATATGACGTCATCAAAATATTATCGCATTTTTTGTTTGTTTATAACCTGAAACACAAAGCAATGCAAATGCGTGTTACAAACTTTATAAAAGCATTGTTAAATATTTAGTAGTGACTAAATAACGTCTGTACACGGAGGTGAACTCCAATAGGCGAAAATTTCGCGGACAAAAATATTATCGTTCGCACCATCGGACAGTATGTTTTCGTTTTGCATTGTGGGTATACACCATCAGATTTGTAAAGTAACATTAGAATGATGGCGAATTTCATATTCTATACTTATTACTACAAGTAACATCATACTGAGTACGAGAGTAAAAGCGACTTTTTTCAAAGGTTTTTTATTTTATCAAATCTAATTGAAATATTGTACAGATCTTACATACAAAGGGAATTTTGCAACAAGAAAAATCCTATAGTAACCTTCTTCTGGATTCCTGAAATTTTCGAAATCTTATGCTAAGAATTGAATTTATTGAAAACATATGGTGTTATTCGTTTCCCATGATATCTGAGTTTCATGAAATTCTCGAAATCTTATGTCAAGAATTCAATTTATTAAAAAACACATTTAGTTTATCACGATTGTTAATTCACAAGTTAGCATGCACAATACTCTCGAAAGCACAGTCCTGTAGTTTGGGGTATATAACCTACCGTGTGAAGGTGACTGGGTGGTAAAGGGTATATATACCATACCTCCGTGTTGACAGTACTTATCTGTGGTATTACTGACAAGAAGACTCATTTACTTCTTTCAAATATTTTATTTCATTTTTGTCAAAACGTTTAATATTCTGGTAATCGTGACCTAAATGAAATAGTATAGCCATTGTTCATTTCTGTAATACATTTGTAGACCGGGGCCCGTATTCATGAAACTGTTCTCATGCTCAAGCATGGATTCTGTGCTCAACCCAACTTTCTTGTAACTCGTTTAAATAATCTCAAACGATCAAAAAGTCAAATGTGAAAATTGAAAACAGTATTTGGCTTCGAGTCTATTAAATATTTTTTCAAATCATTGACAAAATAAGAGTTGTTTATTAATTTATAACTAAAACAAGAAATTAGGCTTGAGCACAAAATACATGCTTGAGCATGAGAACGGTTTCATGAATACGGGCCCAGCCAGTTTTCGTCTCACAAAATCACCAAGGGTGTATGTTTTCTCTTGTGTTTTCAGACAGACGAGGATAATGCGGTTCACAATGCCAGTTTGCATAACGGATATTTATATCATCACACTGAACTAAAACATTCAGAACGGCGACGGAGGACTTTAAATGTAGCATAATGTGCATATATCGTCGGTGTATTGTGAGGGAAGGAATGCAATACTTGGAAGCAGCAAAAAAATGTTCCATGGTAAAATTAACGTATTTCATCATTTCATGACTTTACATCTGTTTGCTGGAACTCGACGTCATTATTCATAGAGAAGTGAATGATGAGTGGATACGTGATATTGAACTACATGTTTCATAAATAGTCGACAATATGTGCAATATCTGAATAAAATATTTACATTTTCACGTACTGTTTGTAATTCTTGTGTGCTGTCTACAAGATTTGATTTGACAATAAAAATGGTAATGCGTTATTTCTAGTCAATGATCCCTGTGTCACTGCAGAAACACACTAGATAATTCCAGTGTAGCTTTTTATGTATATTGTTACCTTCCTTAACATTTCTTCAATACGATTTATCAGTCTGGAAATGTAAGATTGGTTACATTGATTGACAAAGGGACCAGTCGGTTTTGAAACGTTGCGACACGTTTAATACGTACGTATATACATTGTTAGTGTAAAAAGTAAAACTTTGATATTCCTTAAATTTTGTTTTGGGTATAGCTAACTATATAGGGACCACGGAACCAAATCAAAAATAGATTGTGGGTTTTTCCCTTTTGGGCAGAAGATTTAATAGGAATGTGAATTTAGATGGCAGAAGTTTCAAAAGTTTGATGTGTTGGTTGAGCAATATAAATAGATGTAAAATGTATAAAAAAAAAAAAAAAAAAATCAAGTCTGCTTTTGTCTCGGGACACTATCGTCTATGGAAAATCATTTGGTTCTGTGGTCCCTATAGTAATTGGGTAGAGAGCTATCACAGAGCAGGTATACACATGCAGTTGGGGCAACCGTTTTGTCATCGGAGGTACAGGGTTCGAAATCTGCTCTGGCTCTGTTTCATTTTCGCTCTCAGAACACTGTTGTAGACTTTTGCCATCAAATTTTATCTCTGTTATTCTTAAGAAAAAACGCTGGTCTTTTCACAAACAATTGATTTGAACAATTGTCACTGGTAATATTTTTGGCAGTGGTACGGGGATCATTAAGTGCTGATAAACGAGTCTTTGTAAACCCAGTACAGTGTCAACTTTTCTATAATCAAATGATACAAAACAAAATAAAAAGTTTAATAAATGGAAGGAGTACGGATGTTTGAATTACTTATTTCAAAAATAAAAGTTGATTTTTTTTATATAATGTTTTATGGTGGTGTTGTTGTCATACCTAACAGAATACTGTGAAACCTCTCATTTTCGTGGGGTTTTAAATTTCGTTGATTTCCTGTGTAATCTTTACTTTAAAATTTGTTATTTCTCAAGCATTTTCAACGATATTTTACCTAGCATATGAACACACATACAACACTCACCATCATCATCAGCAGCCGCAGCAGAAGCAACATCTCATCATCATTTCCTGTGTAATCTTCATCCACGAGTTGATAGGTCCGCGAGCAATTACACGTTTGATATAAAGCAAGTCTCCGATTCAATAGGTTCTCGTAATTTACGAACACGTGTACTAACGGAATGGTGTTTTGTCGGGAAACCACGAAATTTGGCTCCACGTGAAATATCTGATTTCACAGTACAAGACGACTTGCTAATGTGCTATAACTTTTCTATTTTTTCTTTCCTACCCTATGGTGGCTGATATATGACATTTCGTCTTTTCGCTTTGTCGCCCGCGAAATAACGCCAAGCGAAATAACGAAATAACGAAATAACGCCAAAGCGCCAAAGCGAAAAGACGAAATAACGCCAAAGCGCCAAAGCTAAATAACGAAATAACGCCAAAGCGCCAAAGCGAAATAACGAAATAACGCCAAACCGAAGTGAAAATAACGCCAAAGCGAAGAGATAAAATGGCGTCTTTTCTCCCTC